GAAAAAAAAAAGAGCGCAAAAAAAAGACGCGCGCGCGCCGGGGATTGAACCGGCGCGAGGTGGACAGATGGACAGACGGACGGACGGCGATTCGGCCCAAGGCCTCCGCTAGATAGACTACTCCGTAGTCGCTACGGCTACAGACGGACGCCGGATCGGCCTAAGGCCTCCGCTTTTCTACTTCGTAGGAGCTACGGCGACAGACGGACGCCGGATCGGCCTAAGGCCTCCGCTTTCCTACTTCGTAGGACAGACGGCGACGGACTAGAGCGCGCTGTTCGCGCGAGAGGGCCGTAGCTCCGTCGTTGAATCGCGCGGGCCACTATATGCTGTTTTGCTGAGGGCCGTATCGGTCACACACACAACACAACAAGTATATATATATACGAAGGCGGAAGGAGGCTGAGCTTGCAGAGGGTAGCCCGCGCTGAAGCGCTCGCGCGGGACTCGAACCCGCAGGGGGCTCCACACAGACATTGATGGGCAGTTCCCCATTCCTTCCCGTAGGGAGCGAGCGTGTCGTCCGGGGTATTCCCCTTACCCCGGACGCTGTCATTTAACGCCGTACAGTGGCGGGTCGTGGCTTCAACTGTCAACTAGCCTTGTCAACTGTCAACTAGCGGGTCCAGCGGGTTTCCAACTGGCGTGCATGCTGGAACTCGGTGGTGTACCGCTGCTCCGTTTCGCGTGCTGCCTGCTTCAGCAGGCGCAGGTTGGCGGCCAGATCCGGCTCGAGCTTGGTTGCGCTGAGGAATTGTTTGATGACCTTCTTGCGCTCGTGTGGCGTGGTATAAAGTGGACGTAGCAGACGGACGTGGTCCAACGTCTTAAAGCGGGTCAGCAGCACATACAGGGTGGCACGCTTGATGCCGTTGGGTGGGACAGCAAGATCCACCAGCCAGCATTCATCTTTGAAGCTGCGGCCTTGTACGAAGTAATCGGTGACCGCCTGGCGGTCGCCGAGCGGTACGTTGAGGCGCCGGACCTGCTTTGTGAGGGTGCCACACCCGGGGGCGGGCATCTCCACCTCGGCAATGCAAGACGCCCGGGGTGACAGGATGAAGGCGCCACCCCTGCTGGCGTAGTCTGCAAGGCCCCGCAGCACGGTGTCGGGGATATGGCCGTTTATAGGCCGCACAATGACGGCCGCTGGAAGGTACTTGAGCCGGCGGTAGGGGCCGTGGCCGTCATCTGCTGGCTCGCGGCCATCCTCAAGCAGGCCGCAGGCTTCCACCTCGTTGTTGTGACTCGCCCCGGCATCGGCAGCCGTCGTATCAAGGAGGATGTATCGGGCGCCATGGTAGTACCACGTGTCGGCGGTGGTGTGGCCAAAGTCGTAATCCTTTATTCGCATCGCAACTGCTTTCTCCACGTGTGTCAGGGCTGGCTCTACAGCGGCGCCGCGCTTCTGGACAGGGACGTGGTCCGCATTCCACACCACGAGGCGCTGGTTCTTGCGCTGTGCTTCCAGCATTATGAGGCGGGTGTTGAGCGTGTGGCGTGGTTCGTTCCTCTGCAGCACGACGCGCGGCTCGAGGTGCGCTAGGTCGGCTAAGTCGACGACGGCGCGGCTGTTGAGGTCGTCAACCATTTCGGCTATGCGCTGCTCTGTGGCTGGCTCACCGCCGAACATAGAGGCGTACTCTGTCAGGCGACGACCAGAGGGACTGCTGTCCTGGCGCTGCTGCTTCTCCAGCAAGAAGACGGTCTTAGCCAGGGATCGGTAAACCCGGAAGCCCTCGAGTATGCAGCTCTGAGCCTGTGGGACGGCCCGGGGCCGGCGTGCTGCTACTTCGGGTTGCTGCTGACCGCCTTGGGATCCAGCAGCGGCCTCGTTAGGGTCGCCATCGTTGTCCTCCTCTCCGTGCAGAGGCTGTGCGGCCGGGACGGAGGGCGAGAACTGGGGGTTGCATTCTACATCAGCGGCGTACCGGTAGAGGGGCGGCCCACCTGGCTTCGGGTGTTGGAACTCGTCGCCTGTGTTGGCGCTGGGGCGGCCGCTGAAGATGGTGGCTGCAGGGTGGTCACGAGCGAGATGCGACGGCGGCAACAGGTGACGAGTGCAAGACTGGTTGCATGCGCCCAGATGGTCCAGGCTGTTCATACCGATCTCGTCAATGATGAGCGCACCATCGCCGACATTGCGATGCACCTGTAGGCTGGCTGCGCTGCCTTTTCTGACGCTTTCCGCTCGGTTGCTGCCAGCAGATAGGGCGAACATTGCGTGGGTAGAGAGGCTGCGATGCACCGGCGTGTTGAATGCAACTGCAGCAGCCCATGAGTAGGCACAGGTGGCCGCCCAGTGCGGGCAGCCATGCTGGAAAGTGTACCAGAGGAGCGCTTGTACAAACTGGGTCTTTCCGGTACCGGGCTTGCCCTCCACAAGCATCTGCGGCGGGTCGCCAGGGTTGGGCTCATCACGGCGATCGAAGTACTGAGCCATGAGCATGAAGGGCACGGCTTGGTGGGGGGCGAGCGTGAAAAGCTCGATGGTGTCGTCGATGCTGGGCGGCTGGGGGAGGTGCACATAGATGGGCATGCGAGCCTGCTCAGTCCGCTCAGGAGTGCCAGGCATGCGCACAATGGCAACCAGGGGTCCGCTGGTGGGGCGGTGCAGCTCAATATGAGGGGTGTCCATCTCAGGTGGGGCCGTCAGTCCCGTGTGGGCGCCCCCATCTGCCTCAACAGTGCCGGCTGCTGCTGCAACGAGATACCGCTTCAGACGCTTGCTCGCTTCGGTCAGGAGGGGCAGGTCCGCTGGTGTGATCCGACGGCTAAAACGATCGCTGCGTGCACCATGGCCGTCCACTAAGGCCGGGGCTCGGCAGCGCCGTGCCGCATCATAGGCATACGCGCCAGCAGCGTTGGTGCAGTCAAACAGATCCGTAAGAGCGACGGCGGCGAGGTCGGTGCCAGCCGTCGGATCCTCCTGACCCGGGATGTACACGAAGTGCTCCAGCTGACCCTCGGCGGGTGGCTGTGTTTCAGGATCAGGTCTGAGATGCCCGCGGATGGCGTCGTCGGTGTCTCCATCCGAAGTGCTCGTGCTGTCACCTTCAGGCAGCGCGGCTGCTGCCGCCGCCGCACGCTGCTGGCGGCGCCGCTGGTTGTACTCCGCCTGACGGCGGGCTTTCCCTGTGTGGTCCTCTTCGATGTTGTCCAGCAGCACCGTTACGTACGCTTGGTATGAGCGACCTGCCTCGGTAGTGGCCAGCTCTGCCCACCAGGTGTCGTAGGCTTCCTTTACAGTCAGCCCGGGGGGGATGGGCTGACCCCGGTGAGCTTTGAAAGTACCCAGGACAAACGCGTAGTACTGCGCCATGCTCGCAGCAGAGGTGCCAGGGCGGGGCCGGCGGGGAAGAGAGCCTCCAAGTTGTACATATCGCGGCCGCGGTAGGCGGATGTGGACATGTGTTCTGTACAGCGGATGCGTGCCGTGGAAGGCCACCAGGCGGGGCAGCTCCGTGGCTGTCTGAGACGTTGGATGGTCGAGTGTCGCTGCAGCTGTAGGAGCAGGTGGCTCAGGAGGAGGGGCCGGGGCTGCAGTCAGCAGAGGCACAGGGGCAGGCACGGGGGCGGTTATGGGTGCAGCAGGGGTAGTGCGCTTGCGGCGTCGAACTGCCACCGGGACCTGTAGACCCAATCGCTCTCGGTGCGGGTGCTGAGCTGGCGGCACACGTCGAACCTCATAGCTGGAGACGATATTGTACACGCTGCAGTCCAGGCCGCTGAGTTCTTCCCCCCGCAGCACATAGCTCTGCACGGCGTTGGTCACCGTGTAGCCCTCCTGCTCCTCAGCCTCCACCAGTACTGCTGCTGTAGTCGCCGCCTCAGGAGATTGCTCGGCGCCCGCAGATAGCGCTGTGAACGCGTCTACCTGCAGGTATGCGCTTTCGAACGTCGCCTCGAAGGTGGAATGACCGTCCAGCTTCATGGCGACAAGCGCCATACCAGCCGTAATGGCAGCGGTCATGCGATGCACAGTGGCACACATGTTGCCAAAGGCAGTGGGCCCACTAGCACCCGGAGTTGGCGTCCTTCCAGCGAGCAGGAAGTCCTGCACTCGGGTAAGAGCGTTGCATGTCAGCTGCGCCTGGCTGTCGTTGATGCTCTTGCCAGTGTACTTCGTGCTGTAGTAGGCAGAGTCGCGGGCGCGGTCAGCGGCAGGTTGCAGCAGTGCACAGTCCCCCCGTTCATCTTCAGGGCGGGCCAGTTGCGCTGCTGCCTCTGCCGTGTAGACGCGATCCACCTCGCACGCCAGAGTAAACAGCTGATTGCACCCAAATGCCAGCGCTGCAGCTGGCATGTGCGGTATAATGTTCGGGCCCAATCGCGGCAGAAGGAAGAGGCCGCCGGTGCCAATCCACTGGAAGGCGCTGCGCAGGACACGAGGGAACACCATGCCACAGCTATCATCTGTGCCACGGCAGCCATGTCGCTTGCACGTGTCGTTATGTGTATGAGTAAGAGTGCTGCGAACAACGGCTGCGTGGTGTGCACGGCAAGCAGCGTGCCGAGGAGGAGGCGGGAGCCCGCCACCTGCACACCCAGCGAGCCTGCCAAAATCGTATGCTGCAGGCGGGCAGGACTTGTCGATGGGCGGAGGTGCACGGCCATGCTGCCGGGCCTCTTCGACGGTCATGTCCATGACGCAGTGTTCTGTTCCGTGGACGAAAGGGTCATAGTACGGCGAGGGATACCACATGGCGCACAGTGCGTATGCAAGGGCCAGCGCTCGGCAGTTGGGTCCGTTGAACAGTGCCTGAAGACGCTCGACTGCAAATGCGGCCACATGTGCGACACCGTGGATGTGCAGGGCAAGGCGGCCGCTCTGTTCCACCTTGACCGCCACCTCAAACGTGAGCCCGCAGAAGCAGTGCGGGTTGGTCTGCTGCATGGCGCCTGGCGCAAACCCAAAGAGCTCTTCCACCAGAACCTCCTTGGTGGCCACCAGCAGAGCGGCGCAACTGTACGGGTCATCCTTCACACGCCGCCACTTTTCCACCGTGCTCGGGATATGCTGCGGTCGTCCGTCATCGTCGAAGTCCAACACCTGTCCGGATGCCACGACTGCACAAGCTGCATGCATATCTGCCGGATTAACGGTGAAGAACAGCGGAGGCCAGCCAATGGTGAGGGCGGCTTCACGCATTTTGGAGCGGGCGCCGTTGTAATATGCGTCCGTAAGGTCGAGGCGCAAAGTACTGAGGCGGGCCCCCTCCACCAGCGCCTTAACCAGCGGTGATTGCTGTGTAAGCAGCTGCCGCCGCTGCGAGTGCCGATACGGCAGCGCCAGTATGGTGCCCATAGCACGGATGACATCACGCGGCACACGCGCCGCTGGTTTCACCAAGATGCGGCCGCATGTTCATGGTAATTCCCACCTGCGCCATGCTTTCGTGGCGCACGCAGATGTCGTACATGCGTGCCAGCAGCATGAGGTTGCCGCCGAATTGCGTCCGCGGCACGCGGTGCAGTAGGTGGCGACAATATGCCGGAAAAGACATGCCGCGGGGGCGCTGACCAGAAAAGCCGTATGGGAAGGACTGGGGGAAGCAAAGGGTGAGGATGGCGGGATGACGGTCATCCAGCACGTGGCTGTCACGACCACCAGCCGCAAACGCAATCCGTGCGCGGCCAGTCAGAAGGTCCTCCACTCGGCCTGGGAAGCGGTCGATTTCACTGCCATCATCACCAACATTCGACGGCTGCGGCAGGATCAGCTCCAGTTCGTCCAGAGTGGCAGCTGCCGGATCAACTGCATGATCAGACGACAGATGCACAAGAGCTGGGTCAGAATGCACGATGTGGCAGGCAATACGATCAGCCAGCATGGTACACGCGGCGGTAGACGCAGCACACGGCGTGTACATATGCTGGACAGAAGTGAAATCGAATCGCCTCAGACACGAGCGAAAACGCGTTTAGCCCTATGGGCAGCCAAGTGAGAGAACGCACGCACCTGGTGGACCTTCAACTGGCTGATCAGCAGGTCCTCGTAGAATGGCGGTGAATGGCCCCGGCACAGGGTCCTGTCCTGCATTCAATAACACACACAGAGGAGCAGTAGAATACATAAGTAGCAGGGCAGGCGAGGATGGTGCGAGAGTCCAGCCTATCCAGTGGGCAAAGCTGCGCATGAAGATTTGTTATGACAACAGGCCGCCCTTTTTGATGCACGGGGCAGCGGCGGTAGTGGCTGTCCGGTGCAGAAAGCGCAGTACGAGGGCAACACGAAAACAGAGGGTACACAAGAGCTAACATGAAACACAGTAACAAATTAACAAACCTGCAGTCGGGGTCGGATCCGCCAGCGTAGGTTGCACGGGTCCTGCAGTATCCGCGTCAGGTGCCGCAGCTGCATCGGCAAGATTGCCATCACGAACAGCCGCTTCCACTACGTCTTGGAACTGCCGCACACCTGCCGCACCCGTGCGGTCGTGCAGGAAGGTGGTGCGGAGAACGTTCGCCACCTCTGGATCCGTCGGCGCAAGGGCGGCATGCAAGATTTCGTCCGGCACGCCTGCAGCACAGCCCATCCGTTCGTACTCTTGCAGAGCGTCCTCATCGATAGCCAGCTCCTCCTCGTCGTTGTGCTGTAAGAAACGGACCCAAGCGACGATGACCTGCCCTCGCACCTGTAGACCTGGTGCCTTTCGCACGCGTTCCAGCAGCTCCGCCCGGCTGCGAACCTGGTCGACACACACGACCGTGATAGCACCGGCCAGGTCGGATGCCCGCGCTGGCAGCTGCCCTCGCAGCAGATTCGGGTCGGGATTGACGACCCCAATGCCGTGAGTCTTTACGGCACGGGGGAAGACATCTGGCGGCCGGTCTGCGAGGTACATGATAAGCAGCTGCTGAATGATACGACCACGACCCAGAAGCTGCCCCTCCAAAAAAGTGGGCGACGGCAGAGGGTCACCCAGATGGTTGACGCGCGGCACATCGCCAGGGTCCAGGCGCGCCAGCGCAGCTTCAGGGACTCGGCGGGCTGTAGTAGAAGAGCAAACATGGGCGAGCAGAGCCGATATGACTAAGGAAGCAGTAGGAACGTAGGCAGCAAAGGTAGGAGAGACAAGTACATGCCGCAGATGAAGGGAGCAAGGAAACGCAGGCAGAAGTCACAGCTCATAGGCACTAGGCAACCGGCTTGCGAGCACGGAGCAAACGACTCACCGCTAAGGGCTTTGTGGCAGATGTTGCATACGAATATGTGCTCTGCAGCACCATCGCCAACCAGCATAGTGCGGTTGGGCAGGTCCGGCTCCAGACGCATGCAATAGGGCACCTCCACACTAGCAGGGTCGTCCGGGCAGGCTCTGGGCAGCACCCGCGGTGGGCGCGGCTGTTGATCCGGTGGAAGCTGCTGGGGCTCGGGCTCGGGCTCGGGCTGCTGCCCAGCCGTCGTCAAATCCGGATCGCCAGTCTCCTGAGCACCAGCATCCACGTCCAGTGCTCCGTCCGCCGCATCATCCACCAGCCTGCCTGCTCCACTAGCACTACCGCCGTCCTCATCCACAGCACCAGCTCGCTCAGCCCGGCTAACACGATACCGAGCAGGTAGGACTGGATCAGGTGGCGGCGGTGCGTCTCCCTGAGCTGTACGCGCCATCCGCCGCCACACCAGAGTACGCCCCCAGCGCTGCACAGCATCCGTACACATGACGTCGGCACGTAAAATGTCAACGTTGGGAATCTCCGTCCAGTGCATCACCGTCGACTGGTCCTCCGAGCACACCTCAGAGCACACAGCACAGACACGGGAGGGCATGCGCCGGCGCAAGGCAGCAGCCATGGTCGATGCACACTGCAGCTGCACGGTGTACGGTACCTGCCTGTCAGGTGGTAACTGACCGCCAGGAAGGTCCTGCACGCGGCCCTCTGGAAGCGCCAAAAGAAACTCGGGCAACTCAATCACGTCACCATGATGAAGGTCTGCGAATCGTAGAAGACGGTGCATGCGAGCCAACAGCGTATCCCTAGGGGCGGCTTGCTGATTCTGCTGCTGCACCTGCCGCGCAGCCGCATGCTGGGCCGTATTCCGCTGCTGCTGGAGCGCCCTCACCTCCGGGTCAGCACGTGCAGCTGCATGCCGTGCAGCGTCACGCAGCTGCTGCTGCACCCTCACTTCCGGGTCAGCACGTGCAGTTGCATGCTGTGCCGTATTCTGCTGCTGCTCATGCGCCCTCACCTCCGGGTCAGCACGTGCAGCTGCGCGCCATGCAGTGTCACGCACCTGCCGCCGTGCCCTCACCTCCGGGTCAGCGAGTGCAGCTGCATACTGTGCTGTGTTCCGCTGCTGCCGCTGCGCCCTAACCTCCGGGTCAGCACGCGCAGCTGCGTGGCGTGCAGTGTCACGCACCTGCTGCTGTGCCCTGACCTCCGGATCAGCATGCGCAGCAGCATGTTGTGCAGTGTTAGACACCTGCTGCCGTGCCCTCACCTCCGGGACAGCACGGGCAGCCGCATGCCGCGCAGCGTCCTGCTGCCGCTGCAGCAGCCGTAACTCAGGAAGGGCTGCCGCACGCTGCACAGCTTTCTGACGCCGCCATCTCTCTCGTACTTCTGCAGCAGAAGGGTCTGCATCCTGATGACGCCCCTCCAGCTGTGTATCTGCAGTAGCCGCCGTCTGCTGGCGGCCGTCCTCTGCGGGCCCCGCTGGAACCGTTGGTACGGCTTGCCGCTGCGATGCGGCAGGCTGCTGTTGCTCAGTTACACGAGGCGCACTCAAATCAGCGAGCGGGCGTGTTCTTCCACTACGGAATCCGTCCGCAAGGGACCCAAGCCGAAGCCGTTTCGAAACAGGCACCTGATCCGACATGAACGCGGACCCGACGAAGCGAACACGTATATTAGTTCAGCCGGGAAGAATACGGGCTCGTAAACGGCGAATAACGCAAAAGAATCGATCAGAAGGAGCAAGAAGCTGGAAAGTATTTCCGCGTAGTGAGGAGGGGAATCACGAGAAGCACAATCGAAGAACCTGTAGGAAACGCGTACGGCATTTGTTTCGGAGCGGAATCGAATGACGCGTCGAAGCGCACATCGAAATGCACGCTAAAGCTTTGCAGGCTGAATTGCGCACCGAATTACGCATCCAGACCCGCGTGAATCGTGCACTTCGGCTTCGGATTCGGCGGGCGCAAGCGTGTGCTTCGGCCAAGCATTTGAATCGTACGCAAGGTTCACAGTCGAATCCCGCAAAAAGGTCGTTCACATAACGAGCACCGAATTAAAATAAAGAGAAAAAAATAAAGAGAAAAAAAAAGAGAAAAAAAAGTGCGCGAACATCGCGCTCAGGGTTGAACCGACGACTTGGTGGACAGACGGAGAGACGGAACGACGGACTAGAGCGCGCTGTTCGTGCGTGTGGGCCGTAGCTCCGTCGCTGCGTGCGTTGCACGGCGCTTAAGGGCGTACGGCACAGCACAGCGCGTACGGCATAGCGCATACGACGCGTACGGCGTGTATGTCACACGCATTTCATGTACACTGTGCAGTGTCATGCAGCCGCTGCTGTGCCGTCACCTGCGGGTCGGCACGTGCAGCTGCGTGATGTGCAGTGTTACGCACCGGCGGAAGAAAATTAAGCTTGTGGAGCCTAGCACGCAAATTTAGCCGTACGCGCTATGCTATGCTACGCTATGCCGTACGCGCTATGCTATGCCGTACGCGCTGCCGTACGCGCTATGCTATGTCGTACGCGCTATGCTATGCTACACTATGCCGTACGCGCTATGCTATGCCGTACGCGCTATGCTATGCTACATTATGCCGTACGCGCTATGCTATGCCGTACGCGCTATGCTATGCTACACTATGCCGTACGCGCTATGCTATGCCGTACGCGCTATGCTATGCCACGCTATGCCGTACGCGCTATGCTATGCCGTACGCGCTATGCTATGCCGTACGCGCTATGCTATGCTACGCTATACCGTACGCGCTATACTATGCCGTACGCGCTATGCTATGCTACGCTATGCCGTACGCGCTATGCTATGCTACGCTATGCCGTACGCGCTATGCTATGCTACGCTATACCGTACGCGCTATGCTATGCCGTACGCGCTATGCTATGCTATGCTACGCCGTACACGCTATGCTATGCTACGCTATGCCGTACGCACTATGCTATGCCGTACGCGCTATGTTATGCTACGCTATGCCGTACGCGCTATGCTATGCTACGCTATGCCGTACGTGCTATGCTATGCTA